AGAGACAGAAAGCGAGAAATCACCCCCAGGGGGGATGGCCACACCGCAATCCCTTCTTCATTCTCTTCTTGGGATCTTGGGCACACACGCACATGCCCAGAGTGAGTTTAAGCCACCGAGTCTGGGACTTGAACCGCAGTCGACCACGTGGGAGTCCAGCCACATAGTCATTACGCCAACTGCTGCCCCCCCATAAGTCTTTTTTATTTGTTAAAAACAAACAAAGAAAGGAAACAATAAAACCCTGTAAGCCCAACAACTCTTAGGGGTTTGGCGGGAGGGCAGGGACAAGACCCCAAGATCAGGGATGGTGCAGAACGGGGGCTCTGGGGAGGCAGCAGGCTGGGCCCAGGGAATGCAGCAAGGTGAGGAAAAGCTGCAAGGGGGCCGTCTGCGCGGCGTGGGGGCCATGGCTGCCGGCTTCAGAGCTCAGCTCGGGAGGCAGAGGTGAGTGAGGCCCGGCTGTGTGTTGGCGCGTGGCTCAGCGCCCTCTGAGCCCCTTCCCGCCCACATCCTGCCCCAGGGTGTGCCAACATGGCTAGCCTTCGGCCCTTCATTCTGAGTTGTCCCCTCAGGTCTTGCTTTTTGCCAAGAAAAGTCCCCTGCCCAGGTGAGAAACCTGCGGCGTGAGAAGCGCCTTCAGGTGGCAGGGCCCGCGAGTGGGGAGTCCTTTCCCGGGTGGAGTGGAGTGGAGAGGGGCGCGCAGGCAGGCTGGGCGTAAAAAGCGAGGCCCGTTTCCCTGGCTCTGTCTGGACCCCGGCCCGCAGAGGCAGCCTGCTAGCCCGTGGGGGAGGCGGCCTACGAAGTGCCCAGGGAGCGGCCAGTCCCCGCCCTCAGCGCAGGTGCCCCGAGCCAGGTGAGCCTGCCTGGGCTGGGGCGCGACGAGCACGCGGACGAAGGTGGCATCTCGGGGCAGCGGAGGGCGTGTCCTGTGAAGTCCCAGGACCGCGCGTCCAGAAGGGACCCAGCGTCCGCGGGGCGACAGGTGTGCGCCCGCGCTGTCCGCTCCCCAGCCCTGGCACGGGGCGCGGCCGGGCCCGAGCCTGTTCCGATGCGATTCCCTCCGGGGTCCCAGCAGTACGGGGAGCGAAGGCGACCCCGCGGGGCGTCTCCGCGCAGACACGAGCTCCGGCCGGGAGCTGCCCCGGGGGAGGGACGCCGCCTTCCCCCTGGGCGCTGCCCTCCTCCTCCCCTCCCTTCCCGGGCGG